AGGCTTATAGGAAATTCCGAGGAACCAACATGCTCCTTGTCACATTTTTAGTTTTTCTCTGGCTTCCACACAAGTTTTTGATGACTTTGAAGTGCTGAGAAGAGCAACTGTAAAAATAAAAGGATGTACACCTGACCTCCTACAAAGCACGAATGCTCTGATAATAAGTGGCAGGGTCATGAGGGAGCTTGTGTGACATTTATTTTGCAGGGGATTTTCTTTGACTTTGTTATTTATCATACTTCAGCCGTGGGGGGAGGAGGAATTTTGCCAATGCACTCATCGTCTGCAAAGGGGAAATAAACTCTAAACCTCTTTCATCACGGGATGGAAAATTGATCTGTTCTTTTTAAGATATCTCACAGCATTGTCTTCTTTTAGTGACTTTCTCAAAACAGATGTCTCTTTTGTACAGGAATATCTTTTTTTATTATGTTGATTGTTCAGATTTTTTGTGATTCATTGCAGGGTAGAGACCATCATCTGCTGACTAAGTTGTAAAAATGGGTCATTAGGCCATCAGTGTTCATTGAATAACAATTGGTGGCACTTTTGTGTCAAATATTGGTCCATTAGTTTTTACTGTAGCTCTCTGCAGAAGGGATTAATTGCTATTAGTTGGTGGCTGAAAACACTAATACTGGTATTAGATATTACAAGTATTATGTATTTTCCTATCTAGGTTTTGTTAAATGTCAGCACATTAAAATCTACTCTTTGTCACGTATCCATTAATTAGAAATAGATGAAATTCTGAATACCAATTTTTGCTCCAGTTAACCATATAACATGTTCTATTCTTGACTGATATACAGGACATTCCCTCAGCAGTTTAATATGACTTTATTATGGAGTGCCTCAAAAATTAATATCTCTTCAATATTTTTCTTTGCTCTGCACACAATGTCAGATACTGTATTGTCCATTTCATTTGTATTACGACATTTTAGTTTCATTTTGTTTCTCAGTGGCCTAATTCTGATACATGTTGACATGTGAAGTGATGGGAGCTGATTCCATTTAACTGTGAAACCCATTTAAAGAAATTATTTTAAAGAAAATCTAAACAGTTTGCTTTTTTGGGCAGGGGACTGAAACAATTGAATAGATTTTGCTAATGGTGCAAAATGTTAAATAAACACGGTCACAACTAAACAATCAGAAAACAAAAAAAAAAGACAATCAAAAACAGAAAGTATTAATTTTAATTAAGGTTCTTAAAGGTCAGTGGTATTCATTTTATAATCGCTTTTGCTCATTTGCAAGGAGGCAACATTTCTTTACATAAAACTGCAAACTAGTTGAGTGTTTTTATAAAGAAAAGTTGACAGGTGAAATATATTTCACATCTTTAGACAGTTTAAAGACAGTGATGATATTTCAATGCGAAATATTCAAAAGATATGCTTACTGTAAATGCAAGCTACTGTAATTCTTTGTATTAGAAGAGAAGCTGGCAATGTTTTATTTTTGGAAACTGTCTTGAATTGGATTTAATGTAGTGACTACAGCACTTTGAAACAGCCTGTTTCGTTTTGTTTTCTTTCTATACATTCTCTTTGTCAGTTTTAGTACTTACTGTACATACTGATCTTTATACTGTATTTATGCGTTGTACTTCAGTATGTAAGTAATTTAGTTCAAAATAAATAAAACATTGGACACATTTACATGGAATGATCTTTATTTAAAAGGATTAAAAAGGTGGGCACTAGATATTCATAATCTTTAAAATATATTGAATATTAAGCAAATGTATGAGGATTCTTTATGAAGTTATAATATCCCTGACTGTTTGTAAAGTTCATGGTGATCATTATTTAGTTCTCTGAAAATATTTAGTTTGTGTTTATACACACTATTGGTGCAATATTTAGTGATTACGGTTTATGGACACTCTTAGCCAATCTTAAAATACAGCATTGCATGAGAATGTTGTTTATGAATAAAATTCCACATAATTTAATCACACTGCTACTCAGATGTTGAACATTTTTATGTGACATAATGTTATTATGCTACTCAGACTTTATTATAAAAAATAAGCTCCGATTGTTTTATGTAGAATAAAGTCATTTTTGAACCCAGTTATCACATTCTGTCCTGAGATCTATGATTAGCTAGTACATTTCTCTTGAAAAGATTGAATATCATACCATAGCTTCTCCTTTAATAATTTGTTTATAGTACTATTTTTACTTCTACTGCATGAGAAAAGAACAGATTATACATAAACTTTCTCCTTTCAACTTGCTGCTCACCATATGTAGTTTTTTTTTCATCTTATGTTTGGCCAAAATGTCACTGAAAACAAGTGCAATGGCAAATATTAATCAGTGCAGCCTATTGCTCGCATTAGTTCCAAGACAAATTCAAGTATATTTCGATGTTTTGCAGGGCTCCTTTGGCAAATTGATGAAAAGTCTTCTACACTGTCCAATTGCCTTTACTGTTCAGGTAAAACAGTTAAAAAAACAGTGGCAGATGGGCCAAAATCCCTTTTTGTCAAATAAGATTTAAAAATACTAATTTGTTTTCTTCTTATGGTGCTATGTCTCTCATTGTCTCACAATGCTTAACTGCTTAGTTTAGATTTCCCAATCAGAAAAAAGTCACAGACTAAATATACAGACTCCATACTGGAGTATACTACTTCACTCCATAGTAGAGGCCAAAGTATGCAAATATGAAAAAAAACAACTATGTTTTGTTCAGAAACTGAATGCATAATGCCTTCAATATGAAATTGGGGTTTTTCCACAACTTTTATAAAATATTTCATTTTTTTTTGCAATGCTCATACTGTACATAAGATCAACCGCCCTAGACTTGTAGAGCCAAAACCAAGGCTTTATTTGTCATAAGCACATGATAAATGTTAGAAATGAGAGGAGGCTATTTGGCACTTAGCTCTTTTGGTCATTAGTAGATAATTAATCTGAAGATCCCATCTAGCCATTTCTTGAAAACAGCCAGGGTATCATTTTTAACGACAAGGCTAGGTAGCTTGTAATATACTCCTACAGCCCTTTAAAAAGATGCCCTTAGTCATCATTTTAAAGGCTTGGTACTGTATTTTATGTTGTTTTTTAATCAGTTAAGTAGATACAGTAGTTTGTTCAAAGGCCATCCTCAGGGACCAGAAGTAACCAGTTGTGATATAACAAGCCATAGAATTTCATAATTAAAGTTTCATAATTTCTTTCCGAAAATTGTGACTTTTCAGTTCATCCATCCCTGGCTTGCTATGATGAAGAAGGATTTGAGCACAAAAGGCCAACTAAAAATGAAAATGTTGGATTGGATATGCAACCTCTGAAATTTGACAAGTAACAAAACAACAGAAGATATAATGAGGTCAACCAAATAATTTTACTTGCCACTGTTGCTGGACATTAAAAATTTGCAAAGACAGTAGTAAAACATGTTATTTCCATCAATATAACACATCTTTGCTTAGTAATCCTAAATGAATGGTTTATAAAACATTTTTTAGTTTTCCTTTGTCAGAGAAGCTTAGCACTCAAAATGTGTTATATGTCCACATCCTTAAAGTCCTTCTGTATGTCATCTGGATATAAACTTAATAAAAAAACATTTTGAATTATGTTACATTATTTTCATCAAAAGCCACTGTGTGACTGCTTTTTTATAGGAATCAGTTCTGCTCTCTTTGCTGTGTGGTAAACTATATTCAGTTACTTTGTCTAACTTCACAACACAACTTCAATTGCCTCCCTGTAAGAATACATTTTCCCCAGATCCCAAGCCATTACTGACAATCACATTATAATTTAACCATTATTTTACTTTCACTAAACATATCAGTGAAAATTGTATAGTAAAGTGAACATGAAAATGGGGGGGTTATATATAGGGTAGGTGTTAGGGTTTTGTGCATTTACTGGGACAATTGTTAATTGTAGCAGTAAATCACAAAATAATTCTTCGATGGCTTTTAGAAAATTGACCTTGCAGAAAAACTCAACAATGCACACACTTGGATACTAATACACGAGAATACATTTATTAATACAGTACATAAAATGTGCATATAAACATAACAGATCTTATAGTTAGGGTTAGTAGAATACAAAAGGTATATATTCAAATGTGTATATATTACAAATACCAAGAGATACATACTGTACATTCATTTATACCGTTTCGTTAATGAGCTTTTACACTAGATACTCAAAAGATAGTACATCACTCATATGAATTACTGTAAATTGACATCAACTAGGGTTGAGGTAACAATTGAATTCTCGAGCTGCAGTGTACAGTAGAATGTTGAATACTCATCCAATGTAAAAATTATAATTTAATAATTGCTTACACTTATATAGCGCTTTTCTGGACACTCCACTCAAAGCGCTTTACAGGTAATGGGGACTCCCCTCCACCAATGTGCAGCATCCACCTGGATGATGCGACGGCAGCCATAGTGCACTAGAACGCTCCCCACGCACCAGCTATCAGTGGGGAGGAGAGCAGAGGAATGAAGCCAATTCATAAAGGGGGATTATTAGGAGGCCATGATTGGTAAGGGCCAATGGGAAATTTGGCCAGGACGCAGGGGTTACACCCCTATGTGGATTCAGATCTCCACAGGCTGTTGCTGTGTCCAATTGGCGTCCCCTGGCTCAGAGCCAGGCAGTCCTGGTGCAGCTGGAGGTTTGGGAGAAGGAGAGAGAGATTCCCGCTGCGGCGCGCTGGCAATGCCTCTCTGAGGACATGGCTAGTTAGATCTGGCTGAACTAGCAGCACTTTTTTGTGCTTGTAAAACAAACATTTACAGCACAGACGTACATCATGTTCTGTACATGTTCTTCAAACCCTTGTGTACACAGTATATAACATTTAAGCAGTCTGTCATGAATATTTTACTAACTTAAGGTCAATTGTTTTCAAGTAATATTTAAAGAAAGTTACTTGCTAATTTAAAAAGTTGTTCCTTTTTAACTTAATCTTCTTACACCAATGTTTCTCTTTTGCAGTTGATTTTTTACCTGGTGGTGAAAACTTTGTACACTCTAGGATACAGCGCCTCTTTCATAGCACTGACCACAGGGAGTGCAATTCTCTGTCTTTTCAGGTGAGGATTCTCTTTTTTTTCTTCAAAAGTACTGACAGTTAATCCTTAGGAATCTCTGTTCTGCTCTTCAAGCGTTCCTTTTTAGTTTCATGGGTGCAGATAGGTGAAAATAATGTTAATGATGTTAAATTATGCATTTTATATGGCCCTAGTGAGATTGTTTACTGGGTGATAGAGAAGGGGTAAAGAATTATTTTGAACAGATAAGCAAACTGGAAGCAAGCTTCATGCTAATGTTGATAAAATGAAAAAATCTGGCTACTAGTGATAGTAAAAAGTTCGATTTTTTACCTCTGTCTATTATTAACCACCATTGAGGTTGCTCACCGTTTCAAATATGTAGGAATAGTAGTAGATGAACATTTAAACTTTGTAAAAAAAAAACCAATTGCATTTTACGAAGGCCAGCCAGCATCTATTTTTCATCAAGAAGCTGAAAGGGTTCGGTTGATTTAAAATGATTTAGAGAGGCATTGTAGAATGTTGGTGGAAACATTTCCTTTGGTTTTGGTTTTTAGTTTTTACTGTGCGGTATCCTAAGTATAAAAAATAAAGGGGAAATTGGCCAGAATTGTTAGTTAATATTGCTAGTAAAATAATAATAATAAGTGGTCAACCAGAGAAACAGCTTAAAGATCTTATTACAGTATATTGCAGTTCAAAGGAAAGCTCAGCTTATCATTGATAACCCCTCCTACCATCTTCATTCCCAGTTTCAATTGCTACAGTACCTTCAGGGTGACTTTTTAGAATGCCTATACCCAAGAAAAATGACTACGAGAAATATTTTGTTCCCTGTGCAATTGGTCTGTAAAACACAGATCTAAGAAGTTTCCTGTCAGCTATCAGATTAGTGTAACGATAATGTAATATGGGCTGAGCGAGATGATTATACAGTATGTATTGTTGAATGGCTAGAACTACTGTATTATTTTTTACTTGAGTTAATTTGATTGAATGAATTTAATGTTGAGTGTTATTTGTTTTTGTTGCTTTTTATGGTGATGCCATAGAATAATTTCCACCCATATGTATGGACAATAAAGTTCTACAACAATAATGTTTTTTACAGTGCTTACGGGTTTATTAACACATTTATAACAAAGGTAAACAAACATGTTGAAAATATACATAATTGCCACTGTATTATTTGGAAAGAACATGTGCTTTCAGTGTAACATTGTTTTTCATAGGACCTTAGACTGATTTTTAGTTAGGTAGTTTCATTCAAGCCAAACACAATAGCCCATCAGTACCAGAACTTATCCTGGTTTCTCGGAATGAATCAATCAGAGAGTACATGCCTCTGCCCCTGGGTAGACCACTAGTCAATCATAAGACTACCCCAGCAATGTAGGATCCCATTAATAAAGCCAAGTGAAGTACCTCACTCAAGGAGGCAACAGCAGGGTCTGCAGCAAGGGCTTCAACCCACAAACCAACAGATATGAGTTCAGAGAACTACCCACTATGTTAGACTAATCAAATGGGAGACTGCATTGTGTGTATAACATTTTAAAGCATGTAAATTAAATTACTGAATATGATGTCATTTTGACACAAAGGCACTAAAAGAGAGGAAAAAATGTCATGATTGAATGGCAGTTTGTATTCCTACTGTTGATTTTTCTAAGCGCTGGTGTTTATCTAACCTTAGGGACTTTTCCATCAAATGCTAATCTAGTTGTCTGCTCACCAGAAAGCTGAATGGCCTTAGCTAGTCTGAGTTGGTGAGATTGATTATCAGACAATGACTACTTTAAACAAAGAAAATCTGCCTGAAGACCAAGGACCATTTAGATTAAGCAATGTGCCACAGCACTAACTTTGCAATTGGTGGAAAAAATATTAAGGATGGAAAATATCCTTTTAGGCTTCCACAATACTGATATAAGTTTCACCACATACTGTATAATAAGACTCATATAGGTATGATTTTGTTCAGTGTCAGCATTGCTTGGGGTTTTTGAAAAGGTCACAGATTTCACTTCAATCGGGAAAATAACATTTTTGTTTAGTGGGTTTGAAGCTCTGAGACATACTGTACCCATGACTGCAGTTTATATCCAGGTTCATATAGCATATGCTATATCTATGCAGTAGTAAACTTACAGTGGCAGAACATGTATTATGCTTACTTCCATTATCTTTTAGAAAATAAGCTTTATTCTTTAAGGGCTCGAATGATATTCAAGAACAGTATTTCAAGAATGAGGATGACTAATAATTTATTATCATTTTAGATTTTTATGTGAAATATTTCTTTGTACAGTACTTTGCACTCTGTATGTGCACCAGATTTAAGTAGGATAAGGAAAGACCAGTCAAGAGTCATGACTGATACTTTTCTACGAAGTGTGTAAACAATGTAGAGTGTTAGGGGAATTTTCCAAGTATAGTCACAGTCTCTAAACATTCATCTTAAATAGATGTGAAGTATTCAGCAATGTTTCATTCTTTGTTTCTTGAATAGCGTCTCAGCATTATATATGGACATTTTGGCTTATTATGTATTATGTTTAAATGAAATGCATGGCAACTATCTCATAAATAAAAGAAGAACATATTAGCAGATCCTTCCAACTACTTATTCATACAATACAGTAGAGAAGACTGGCCAGTTTAACTATCATAGATTTGAGAGGAATGCCAAAAACTGAGTTGTACTTTTTTTTAAAGGACAAAATTAGTAGCAATGTGTAGCAATGTGTAGTAAGTGGAAACACTTATTATCAAATAATAATTATCAGAACTTTATTTGTATCATACTGTATGTATCATGTATTTGTATCATATGTGAAAAAACCACGAAGTGTGAAGTATAAAGACTTAGGACTTTACTGGGAAGGCTGTTTGGATATCATGGATAATTCAAAATACACCATGCTTATCCTGGAGTTAACCAAGTCTGTGGGTCATGTGAGGAACCCAGCTACAGGACAGAACATGCAAGCAGATACGACCAAATAAATATTGCTCTCAATTTCCAAACAGTTCTGCCGACAAATATTAGGTAGCAAATCACATTGGAACATTCCTGCTACACAATCCTGCTGTAAAATGTCTGCTGCACAATCTGTACTTATTCACTCATACATTGCATTATATAAGTCTTTACAGTAACTAATGAGCAGGAAGGGCCGCATCATGTCACAGTCTGTGGGAACTTGAGTGCGAGTTTGCGACAACATGGTGACTTACAGTACTTTCACAAAGGTCACGATTCTAAATGTGTCAATTTTTTCTGTATGATCAGTTAATTTATTTTGTCACTGAGATTTAATAACCAGTCTCGGGAGTTGGGACTGCAGTTCTTCTTTAAATAGTCTGTTATTGATGAGACAGGCATGCTTGTAAATTTAGCACAAGTGGAATAACTGGTTGACTGTCGGGTTTTTAGAGGCTTTGCCGGTTACTGTAGCAGTTCTCTCCGCAGTGTACCTTTAGAAGCAAACATGACAAATACAGCATACACTTTAAGAAAAGAGGTTGCTGAAAAAATTGGGAATTTATTTCACTTGTCTAAACATATTGGTGTACCTTGCCACATTCAATTTTTTCTAATGCAGCCCTAAACAGGCTCAGGGACATCAGACATTTGATTCACTTACTAGCGACGGAGTAGTCACGGTATTTAATGTCACTTTTTTGCTGGAGAGAGGATTGTTTCATTTCCCTTCCAGAACAAATAAATGCATTTTTTTTCAGTGGTGGGTTTATGGTTAAAGGAAAGAAAGCAAAGTAACTTAAAGTGAAATTACACTATTTATTTTTTATTCACAGGAAACTTCACTGTACCCGAAATTACATCCACTTGAACCTGTTCTTCTCTTTCATTGTGAAAACAGTCTCTGTCTTTGTCAAGGATGAGATTCTATATTCATCTTCCAGTCTTACACAGTGTACAGAGGATCTTTCGCTGGTGAGGATTCATTTCCTGTTGTATTTCATGATGTGCTTCTCCATTTTATCTGCCTTGTCATATAAGATATCAATCATTAAAGTTCCTTAAAGTCCCAAATGGTTCACCATTTTTTAAAAGATGCTTCTTTTTGCTAACTACTATAGTTTAATTGCATGGGCAGTTCGTGAAACTCCTCAGCAAAAGTAAATAGTTGATAACTATCTTACTATCTTAACTTTTTAACATTTTCAAATGTTTTTTTTTTTTTTTTGGTAAACGTAGGTTAGACATGCAACAAATCAAAATGGTCATGCTGAGTTGTGATACACTTGAACAATCCTAAAGTGTGCTCCCCATCAGTAAGAAGGATTCATAGGAAGAAAAAAAGAGTTACTGCAACATTTACAATATTTCTGATACAAGTGTACAAAGAGTGGTAGATACTGTATGTTCCATTATCTACCAAGCAGCCTGTATCAGTAAGACTCATGTCCAGCTTCTCTTTCACCTTTGTAAAGGGGTGGCAGATTGATACAATATGATGCAATAATGAAAAAGATGCACTGCATTATCTTCTGAAGTCGGAATTCATGTTTCTTCAGTATAATAATACTATAATGATAAATGATACTAATGTATCATTTAGTTTTTTTGCTTAATGCTAATTATATTTTAAAATATAATTTCAGATTGGCTGCAAGGCGAGTTTGGTTATTTTCCAGTACTGCGCTATGGCAAACTATTTCTGGCTATTGGTGGAAGGCCTATATCTTCATACTCTGCTAGTGGCAATTTTCTCAGAAAACAGACACTTTAAAGTTTATCTCCTCATTGGCTGGGGTAAGTAGTGATTTTCACTTTATTGTTCATAATATGAGGTGTGAAGTCCTATGTTTCAGTGTGATATATCATGTAAAATGGTAAAAACAAAACTGAGGAAATAAAGAGAAGTGTGACATGTTGCCAGTGTCACTGAATCTTAGATTTACACTCCCTGCTATCTACAGTATATGAGAATAAAAAGCTCTTTGCTACAAAAAGAGAAGTAAAATGTACATAGAACTAATATGTGTGATCAAAACTAGAGGAAACAAAAACAACGTTTTGAATAAAAAAGTACTGTAATTGAAGTAAAAAGTATAAAAGTATGGCAGTTATCATACAGTCTCCTATTCATAGTATTAATTTCCTATCAATTCCTATTCAGTGGAACTCTTATTTCCATTTTCTGTTTTTCATACTGGTAAAGCTCTTGATTACTTGCATGTATTACATCTTTTGTTAATTAGGCATTTTAACTGTTTTCTGCATTCAACCATTGATTTCCTGCTTTTGTTTTGTTGTTACCACGTACTGTCAAAAATAGAAATCCATTCAGGCTGTTCTCAACCTGTCTAATCAATCGTTGCTCCTTTACAGATATCTAAGCAGCTCTTAGGTTACTATTTTTGGAGTTCCAGCTGAAGGGCTGTCTATTTGCCACATTGACTGAAGTATAAATACAGATGTTGAACATGTTCTCACCATCTTGACCAGAATGTAGTTCCCCTCATTCAAACAGACTAAACCATTTAATACTAAGATTAGTTGAAAGCTTTCAAAATTATGTTCACATTTTGATGGGAATTACAGTAAGGGTGGGGGCTTGATTTAATCCTATTCTTAGTTATGCATAGGTGTAATTGCTTAAATTTCAATTAGTGAAATGAATATACAGTAGTCTTTACTGGAATTAATTGTTTCTCCGCCCAAATTATTTGGAATTCCTGTCTTTTTTGTTGGCTACATATGGGAAATATAGACCTCCTCGGTTTTTTCTTCTGCAGCTTCAGCATGTCTGAAGACCTCAAACTCTCTGAATGTCTTGGTCTGCCCAGAGTCCTTGCAGAGCAAAGAGTTAAAAACGCCTTACTGTTTTATATTACTTGCTGTCTTTTCCCTCTGTTCTGTTAGCAAGAGGTAAGAAGTGAGGACAAGGTCTCTCTCCTCTAAAGTATCTCTGTGCCTTAAAGTGTTACAAAACCTCACCTCCATTGTGAAACATGGCTGACCACACCCAGCCACCATACTGCACATACAGAAGGAGGTCCAGTTACCAGGCCCATTGATCAGTAGTGCAATGTACAATTTCTGTTTTGTGGAAAATCATATTCATATGCATTAAACCTGGAAGGATGTATAAGTGAGTTATATACAGTACATGAAAAAGAAACTAGTACTTTACATATAATTAACTTTTTTATCCCTTCACTTTCACATAACCCATACTTTTTGGGTTCAAATTCAGATTTTCTGCTGAATTTTAAAGATTATTGTGCCAACAAACAAAGTAGGACAGTTTGCATATTTTAGGTTAATCTATTTGGATCCACTTAAAATCATATCTGCTTCTTGATACATTTCTTCATCATTCACCTAACATTTTCTTGTCTTTTGTATCAAGTCTCTTTTTAATGTGCAACCTTTAAAAGCACGCTGAGCAATTTCCTGGACAGGAAATGGTACAAGCTGATTAGCTCTGAACCTGTGGATGCAAAAGGATATAGAATCACCAAAGTAAAGCATTTCATTTGAATGTGCATTTACTTCAGCCTTCATTTGTGGTCTGCCTAAATCCTGTTGCTGACCTGAATCTCTGTAGTTTAAGATGTAACCCTAATCGGTGGTTTCCTGTTCTTGTGACTCCCTTATACAGTATGTGTTGTGCACAGTTTGCTGCACATGCCTAAAACCAAGATAGTAGAGATCTTAACTATGATGAACTCAAGCTAATAAATGATATGTTAAAGCAATTTCAAAAGATATGCTTTCAGATCTTCCTTTTTATAAAAAAATGTCTTGCCGCCTTGAATGGAAACTCTGACGCCTAACCTTTCAAGCCTCAGTTGAGAAACAACTCTTTTCTGGATGACAGTAAATTAAAAATAAAAAAAACTAATAAAGAAGAGAAACAGCTGCCCATTATTATTACATACGCACAGTATTTAATATTTACAGCAACATCCTACTGTATGCAGTGGCCTATGTATTTAAAATGACAACAGGGTCCATCTTGGAGTGGAAATATGAGATGCAACAAGCAACATAATAAGCCCTGGGAGTGTTACTGGCAAAACCAGGACTTGGACAAGGAACCTCCTTGTCACAAGGCTCTCCTTAACCACTGGATTATCTGATTTGAAATGGATGTTTAAAAACGGTAAAAAAAATCTGATATATATTGTACGGCAGAAAGAGCGTGAATTAATAAAATACTGTAAATGAGTTGGAATTAAGGTAAGAAAACAGGTTTGAACACCAAAATCCATAGCAAGTAAATTTATAAACAATACTAGGACTCTTCTTTATAGTCAAGTGAA